CGAGATTTTTGGAAGCTCAGATGTAACGTTATACTCATTCAGTCTCATCATTAAAAATACTCTTTCTTTATGAAGTTGGAACTGTAGCTTTGAAGTCTGCCCACACGCATCCCCTTTCCTAATTAACCCCATGGATTTTTTTGTTTGACTGTGCATATCTGCTGTGGGATCACACAGCTGCACTGACTCACTCCAACAACTCAAGCCAAACTGGAAGAGTACAGAACTGCAGAAAAGTCGGCTGAACAAGTCTTTGGTGACTTGAGTGGTCACGGAGGCAATGCCTTGAATCCCTGGCAGGACCAAGTCTTCCTAAAAGCATCCTGAGTTCTTTATAATCCTGACTAACGTGCACTAATGTTACTGCCAGGACAGGATCATGATGAGCTTAGAACAGGGCATTTACAACACCAGTAACAAAAGCTTATATTTCTTTGAATTAAACCACCTATTATTGCTAGAGTTTCTAGCACAATTTCACATATATTTGACCAGGCAAAGATCCGGTGTCCCCCAGACTGCAAGAATAATTGAAGAGAGATGTGACCTACAGCACAAAAGAGCACTAGTTGCTCAGGGCAACTTTTAACTGGGGGCCATGAGACAGCCAAGTGGACCTGAGCTGGCCAAATCCCAGTTTCTCACTGCAAGTTTTCTAACTACAAGTTGAGCACAGCCCTAAATTTCTCAAATGTTTGGTAACTGAGTCCTTAAAAGAACCAGTTAACACTGGAAACAATTGGCAGGTGGGCACATTTATACAGTAAAAATGTTTAAACCCAACCCCTTGTCAGCAGCAGTGCTCTCTGGCTCTGCTCATAAAGTGGAAACTGGGTTTCCAGCAGGCAGGTACACCAGCTTGATCCAGTTAATGGTAGCTAAACAGGTATTTATTGATTTGGGTCCCCAGAATGCAATGTTGTGGGACAACCCAGCTCTCAGAAAGATGAGTAAAAATTACATAGGTCTGCTTGGATTACCAATGGTAACTTTTCTATTGCTACAATTATTTCCACACTATTACACTCTAAAGCAGACATCAGCAGGTTCTTTATTACAAAGTAAATCATTAAGGACTAGCTGCAGTCTGTGCAGGTAACATGGGCTGAAGGACTGGCTGCCCCATGTCTCTGCAGCTTGTGCATGCTTCCTGGCACCAGCTGCCGAAGTCCTACCCAGACCCAAATCCTGCAGTTCATTTTTTCTCAGCCGTGCTAAGTGCGCACATGCAGTCCTTGGTTAATAGGTCAATATATACTGAGGATATCCTGAAGCCCTACGGCATTTTCGTGCTGTTTGGGAAGAGGTAAGCAAGCAGGTAAGCTTGGGTAAGGCACACTGCTATGCCATCAACTCAGACCGCAGCAGCTTTGACCCCTCTTGTTGCTATTTTGTCTAACTTGAGTGTCTTTAGATCTTTTAGTGTCTCACTTCAGTGTCTCTTTCAGCACACGCAGTAGAGCCAGTTCTCTGCAGAGGGAACTTCTGGCTTGGTGGCTTCCCTGTGTTCATCAGCCAGTTCCTTCTGTTCCTCTGGCACCTGGCTCACAGGCTGGAGGAGAGCAGGAGAGAGATGACATTCCTGATGTTTCCCAGGCCTCTCTTCAGTCTGAGAGCACGTCCTGTTGCTTTGCTCCTCCATTATAAAGAAGGCATAGTTCCCACTCTCCCTTACGAGTCTACAATGACAAGGGCACTAAGGGAAATTCCTAGCATAGGCCACATAATCCCAATTGGATAGAAGATGGTGACTGCACAACCTGCTCTTCCACGACATGGCTAGATCTAGTCCCAAACTGCCTGTGGCCACGGGAATGCAGTGCAACAACTGAGTATGGTCCTGGTTTCATAGCACTGTCATTTTCATCACAATGTCTAATAACTTATTCATGAAGTTGGAGCAACTTTTGGTTATTGACAGCAACTGGAACAATAACTTGTGGAAAAGGGAGATTATTTAAAAATCATCTTAAGACTTGAGTCTCATCTCATCAGCTCCAGGGCCATCACAGGACATGATGGAGGCCAGCGGCTGGCTGGGCCCTCAATCTCACCAGGAAGTCAGCTGGCAGATTGCTATCAGTCTCAATAAGAACAGAACACAGTACTTCCTAAGACCTTGTCTTTGATCACAACATGTATGAAGTGATTGGTAGCTTAAGTGACTAGCATTTAAAAGCTAGCTAAAAACTTGAACAGCAGAGAGTAATACCACCCACCGTAGTTTGAGACCCCCAAAAGAGAGATGATTGCCTGTTATCTGAAAGCTGCTGGAGCTGGAATACTGGGCTAGGTGGGTCTTGTTTTCTGAGCCAACATAGCAATTATCTATGTAGCAAGCTGAGATATTTCTCTAGATATTTATACTACTGACACTCATGGGACCCTTCAGAGGCTAGAAGGCTAACACTGCCAAGAAATGGAACACCCAAATTTTGGAATTGTTGTAAAACAGGGTAGAAGTTTCACAGATGTTGTGAACCTTATCTCATACTCTCATTTGAATGCCAGCTCAAAGCCTCAGAGGGTACATCTTGCAGAGGTTCACATGAGCAAAACATATTATCATTATCTGGCTACATTCCTCCTGTCTCTACAAAAAATGAGTGATATATTAAGCTATGGTTGGTGTGCACTGGTCGGTGTTCTACTTTCAGTTTAACACATATTTCATGCTGTCCTACAATATATGCTTTCTAACATTTTTAAATTTCCACTTACTGCTTAGTTTATTATCTTCCGCATTTATGAACTTAAGCAATTTAACTCTACTTTTCTCTCCTCCTGAACGATAGACCATATAACTGGTGTGAGACTCTGACCACTTATATCAAAGTATATAAAACAGGTACAGAGGACTGAGGTGCTTACATCACTCTTCAGTGAAACACGAGGCAGGAGAGCTCCAGGTTCCTTCTCAGGTGGGAAACAACAATAGCACCTAAGGGCTGAGTGTGGTGCTACATCCCAGAAGATAGTGGCCCCAGTAACTCTTGTTGGCTCAGTTGCTCTCACAGGCACGCTGCCCAGCAGGCTCGACAGCAGCCTTGCTGCCGATCGCAGGAAAGAACCTCAGCATGGGATATGCGTTTGAAAAGTTTGAGGGTGCTGTGTAACTCCCAAACTAGTGTTTAGCGAGGTATTGTTTAGTTTATGTGTCTAAGGAGATAATACTTGTGTGGCTGAGCTGACAATCAGTCTACCAGCCCATCTGTCTATTCAGCTGTTGACCTTCCAAAAAACTTCTGCAAATGTTGGCCAATTGCAACTAAACTTGAAACAATGCAGATGCCTCCAAAGAGAGGCTCAGAGGTCCCAAGAATAAGGAGGTCACTGAAGTATGGTGAAAACCAGAGGCTTTTAACACTGCTTGCACTAAGAGAAAGCCGAACTATTACCCAGACTATGCCATCTCTCGCACAGCCAAACAGTTTGAGAGGCTGCAAGGGAGGAGGCAGGAGAAAAGCTGGCACCGTGGAATGACCATGGACTGGGGGCAGGGGAAGTCATGGAGATGGGAAGGTGTGTTACTGCGACGATGGCGTATAGATCGTGCAGGAAGCCAGTCCCTAGGAAACCAGACTTGTGTATCTCTGCTCTTTAGACATGGGCTCATCCTTATCTCCTGAAGCAAGAGCAGCTCAAGTTTCTCTGGGTAACGTCAGTCAGTTCCAGGGAAGAGAATGTGAGTGAAACAGGCAAAGTGCCTTTCCTCAGTCATATAGACACTGACCCACAAAGATGTAGGGGCTGCTTAAATCCCGCTGGTATCAACAGGAGCCATCTACCTAGATACGTTTGAGCATCTTACCACCAGCCATTTATTTCCCTGTCCCACTTGCTACACCTGCATCTCTCCAAGTAGAGAATATGCACAAACCTGCCTGAACGCTACCTGGAAGCGATCCACTGTGGAAAAGGAAGATCTGACTACTCCTGCTCTCCTTTTCAGAGAGTTCTCAGAGTCTAGACACCACAGCATGGTGGTAGGGGGATTTTTATTGGAGTAGGGGAAAAAATAAGGCTAGATCCATTAGATCTAGCTTCTCTTGTTTAATCTAGCTCAAAGAGATCATGCCTCTGTGTAACTCTATACTGGATCAAGGTTAGCTCTGTTGCTGATAGTACTGGCTACCCTCCCCTCCTGCAGGTAGCAGAGGCTCCAAATTACATGACAAAATAAGAACAGCAGATTCCTTCAGAATGCAAAATTGTAAAAATAGAGATTTTATTTGTAAAGCATTTTTGAGAAAATCAATTAAAATACCACTTTTCTTCAGATATTAAATATATTTTGCATGAACAAGTCCCAGGATTCCATAGTACAAGCCTGCTGTACATGGTCTTTATTTCAACATTATTTGCAAGGACAACAGAAAGGTTTACTAACAGTGAGAGTTTGCTACTCAAAGTAGACCTCCCAAAAAAGAAAGAAAACAGTATTAACTTAAGCAAGAGTGCTAATTTGTATTTTCAACACATAGCTCACTGAAGAACTTGTAATTACTGACAGAATACGTTATCAAGTGACTGCTCAGTGAATATAGCACCAGACCTAGCTATATTTAAACCCCACATAAAATAAGTTTAACAAATATTAAATCACATTGCTTTTCCATCAGTGACGTGGGCTATGACCCCATACCCCAGACCTGAGCAGCAGGACAGACAAGCTGATACTACATGGAAAGAAAGGGAGAGTAAGTCATACAACAGCCCTCTTTCATAGGTCCCTGCAAATAAAAAAAAAATATAAAATATTCCAGACAGAAACATAAACCACCGACACAACTTTGTGTGCAAAGACACTCTAGGTACTCACACAGCCTTCCCTTCGCAACCAGCACAGCCTATTGGCCTCACACAGGGACACTGCTGCTAAGCCAAGGACAGAGGAGCAAGGCTGGATGTGACTTCCCTCATCAGGGTGAGGATATAGCCTGAGCTAAATCAGCCTTTCTGCAGTAAGGCCAGTGCATAAGATGGCTGCACCCTTCTGCTTAACCAGGGTCCTTGGCAAGGTTCCTCCAGGAGCCATACTGTAACAGAGGAAAGGAGGTATAGAAAAAAATTAACAGTGGCTGCCCCCAGGGGACACCGCCGCTCTCCTGAGGTCCTTTGTCTGCGAATGTCCCACAACGTGCTACAGTTCTGGACACCTCCTTGCTTTAACCTGTGCCAACTAACCATAACATAATCCTCAAAGACAAAGGGCCTGAACTGTTCGGGGGGTGTGAGCCAGGGCCTCAACATCACAGGATATTCAGTGCCTCAACATGAATACCAAGCGTCGGCATACAGACAAAATACACAGAGACAGGGAGAAGTGGTTTGAGATTAAATACATAAATCCTACTGAAAATATGTACAAAGATATACTGCCCTTTATCATTTGTTCAGCAACATGTTCCAAGCAGAAAAAATACACCACAGGAGAAACAGACTGTGACTTCACTGGGACTGCAGCTGAGTCATGAAAAGAGACAAAGGCCATTTCTTTTCATTGCTCTAAAGCACAAGGTCTGATCCGATGCCACAGGATCCTTCAGGTTGCTTTTAGCAGACTCTACCTTGGGATTATCAAGAGCAAGACAAAATGGCACTATATCACACCCTTGCCCAACCAACCATTTTTGACAGGCAAAAATAGATGAGTGAAATACTCTTATGCCCAACTTAGCCTTTTGTCTTCCTTTCTTCATCTGGTAACATGCAATTACTGATTTCCTATTAAACCACAGCTGCATTTAGCATGCCATACATATGTCACATAAAGGCAGTTGTTTCTTCACAGCTCAACAGTTAAAAGACACTAACCTCGAATTAGGAAGCCTCCAGACCAAATTCCTGCTCCAGGAAAGACTCCTTACTGCAAGTCTATATAGCCCAGATCTATCTCACTTCCCTTCAGACTCCTAGCCAACCTGCATATGCTAGGACACTAATTGCCCTGGACTCATTATGCAGCCACTGGAGAGAAAGATGCATCTTCATATGGTCATAAAAACCTCAGGTGAGGTGAATCACCCTTGGCCAAGTGCATGAAGCCCAACAGGATGACTCTGGGCTCAGCTGTGTATTCAGGTGACCTGCCATAGGTACCAACAGCAATCACTTTGTTTACTGTGTCAACTAAATAGAGGAGAGTACTGAGTAGTTGAGATCCTGTCTCTCTTTATAGATGATGGTTAGGAATCATTGCAATACCTGTAGTGGATCGTCAGCACAGAAGTTTCTCTGTGCCTCACTCTGCCACATGTACAGTGGGAAAAATTCCCCACTGCATACCTGAGAGCAATGTTAAAACGACGATTCATTAGAGGTTGTTAGGAGCTCAGGGATTTTGTGATGGACATTGGGAAGGAGAGGGTAGAGTTATCTTAAGTTAATATAAACAATTAACATAGAATCTTAAGACAAGTATATGAATTTTTCTCTTTACCCAAAATATGCAAATGAAACTGATAGCTTATATTATAAGTGCTTGTAGACAAAATTTCCCAGAAGTCCTTTGGGTTCAACAAAATATTTCCCTGATCTTTTCTTCATGTGCATGTAAACCAATGTTACCAGAAGAATCAGCACTAATGCAACTCCAAGTAAAACTCCAAGGACAATCACTGCCACTTTCCAGGTGGAACTTTTTCCAGTTGATGACTGAGCAGAGAGAGCTGGAAATTTAAAACACATTTTAGAAATGTTAGCTAGAAACAGTAAAAAGTAGGTGTAAGAAAGCTTAGAGCCGTAAGTGACAGCTGTGTTTTATTGTTTGGCCGCTTTGAAACTTTTGAATAAGATTAAAAATGTTCTTGTATGTCATAAAGATTTGTTAACTAGAAAATTTTATGGACCCCTCTATCTCTGAAGGTCCTTGTGATCTATTGGTGACATCCACAATCAGCAGCTCTGAGGATTTCCTTGGTGTAAAGTATCTGGAAGGTTCTGGAAGGAGAAAACTCCAGTCTGTACCTCAACAAAAAGTCACTCCAAGGTGTGAAAAAGGGCCATGAAATGGAGCTGTACATAATTTAACCCCCACAGTCCTCCTTATTCTTGCACAGGCAACTTTGTGAAGTTAATTGGGACCTGGTCAGCCAGCTGTACTCACACCTACCCATGTCTTGCTCCACGAGACAGTCCACTGAAACCACAGTCTCTAAACTGATAGGCCAAAACTGGAAAGCTGCCTGATTGCCCGATAAAGGCAATGAAAGGCCTGTAGCACATGTAAGCATACCTCAACTCTGTGGTAAAGATGCATGTAGTAATGGTGGAAAGGCTCATAGACTAAATTATAGTGCCAGCCACCATTTTACAAAGAGAGGGTATTAAATGGGGCAGAAGGAGCATCTATGTTGCATGCAAACCCCCAGCTCATAGGAGCTCAAGACAATAAGCATGTTACCACTAGCATGAGCATGGCAGGTACTGTATTTTGGATGAATACCCTTCTGCACAATTTCTGCTTTCCCTCTCAGCCTCTCTGCATCTCTGCGGCACTTTGTGTTGCTAAATCCACACCGCCTCTGGCCAGGAGAGCAGGAGCCAAAGGTTTTCAAGGGTTGTCCAACAGAAGAGGTGAACCCTTCCATCACATCTCTATCCAGAGAGGAGTATTGCACATACTACTACAGAAAAAGTCTCCTCATCCCCTTCTCCATTGAAAGCCAATCCTTTAGGATCAGCATGGCAGGTACAAAAGTGATACACACTGCAACCAGAAGCTCACCTAGCCCTCCTTCTCTGGGAAGACAACTCATCCTTTGAGTCTGCAACTGGGTATCTGTAATGGCTCTTTAAAACATATCCATAATCTACATGATATCTGGACTATGTGTTGTGTGAATGTTTAAATAGGTTACCTGAAATACTCAAATCTCTTAAAGGAAATAAGTTAATTTATCAGCTTTTGTGAAGAGCAGGAGATCTGACCCTTTAATCCCCACACCATCACAGAGGAGCTGTTTCGACATCACTTACATTGTACAGTTACTTCAGTTTGGTCACCAAACTTGCTCTTTAATATTTGACTTAAGTGTGCCTGCATAACGTTCACATCAATGGGCTCTTGTTTTTGCAGTAGAGAAATAAAATAAGCAATCACACTCCCAGGTCTGAATCCAAGCATAATGATATCGAAGTGGTCATCTTTCAGTTTAATGCGCATTTCTCTGACAACCTGTGTAAATTGAAATTGATATTTGTTCCATGTGTCAGTCAGTTGAGGCAGAGC